GAGTCATCTAATCACCCTGAACTCACAAAGCTCGGGCTCCGCTCTGACTGGACTCGGTAATCCAGCAGCAGAGGTTTTCTTCTGTCTGTGCTGATGTTGTTTTTTTTAGGAAGTGTGTTTATGTTTGCTGCTGTTGCTGAGTGGGTCTGTTGTGGTGCCGTTTTCAGGGGAATAGATCCGAGACCCTGTAGGAGAGGGGAGACAGGGTGGGGCTGCTGTCAGGGAGGAGGTGGAAGGTTATCCTCCATCTAAGAGAGATGGACAATGAAACAGAAAACACCAGGTTCTTTTCATGTCTGAGAATTATCTGTGGATGAACTGTCAGCCTTGTTTTATTTTATTGATTTATTTAAAAGGACAATCCACATTAATCGATATTCTATGAATAAAAATGCATCAGAATCATGGGCTGGGCAGTATGACCTCAAATTCATGTCACGGTTTAATCCCTTCACGGTAACTGTGTATACAGCAGTAGAAAATGATCATAAAAAGCAAAGACAATGTAATTTTTAGAGCATTTTTTACAGAAAACTATAATCATAATCAAACCCAGCATCAAATGAACATAACAAGAACAAAATATTGTTTTATACACTCCTGATCAAAATCTTAAGACCAGTCAAAAAAGTGCAAGAATTTGCATTTTGCACTATTGGATCTTAAGAAGGTCCTAAGTAGAGCTTCACAATGTTAAAAGAAGAAATCAGTGCAAGAGACAAGAACTTTTGAGCAGGGGATTGTCTGAAAACTGCATTTACACTCAAACATGATTTTTTTCAGCTGATCAAAAGTTTAAGACCATAGTCTTTAAAAGCCAAAADCTGTGCAAAATTCTGGATTCCATGTCATTTTCTGTCAAGTCTTTACACTGTCAAGACCTCCTGATGGCAAAAACAAAAAAGCTCACTGACTTTGAACGTGGTAGGATTGTTGAGCTGCATAAGCAAGGCCTCTCACAATGTGCCATCACTGCTGAAGTTGGATGCAGTAAGACTGTCATTTTGCATTTTTTAAATGATCCTGAGAGTTATGGAACAAAAAAGTCAAGTGGTAGACCCAAAAAATTTCACCAGCTCTGAGCCGCAGCATCCGATTGGCTGTCCGTCAAGACACGGGACGATCCTCTACCCAAATTAAGGCCATTACTGGTGCTGACTGCAGCCCAATAACCATCAGACGACATCTGTGAGAGAAGGGCTTCAGAAACAAAAAAACGTCTTCAAAGGCCACGTCTTCTTCAACGCCACAAAATTGTCCATTTGGACTTTGCAAGGGTGCACCAAACATGGGACATTGAAAGGTGGAAGAAAGTTGTCTTCTCTTATGAGAAAAAATTAACCTTGATGGTCCTGATGGCTTCCAACGTTACTGGCATGACAAGGAGATCCCACCTGAGATGTTTTCAATACGGCACAGTGGTGGGGGCGCCATCCTGATTTGGGGTGCGTTTTCCTTCAATGGAACAATGGAGCTTCAGGTTGTGCAGGGGCGTCAAACAACAGCTGGCTATGTGGAGATGTTGCAGCGGGCATCCCTCATGACTGAGGGCCCTCGTCTGTGTGGTAATGATTGGGWTTTTCAACAGGACAATGCTGCAGTTCACAATGCCCGCCTGACAAAGGAGTTCTTCCAAGAGAATAACATCACTCTTTTGGACCATCCTGCATGTTCCCCGGATCTAAAGCCAACTGAGAACATTTTGGGATGGATGGCAAGGGAAGTTTACAAAAATGGACATCAGTTCCTGACAGTAGATGCCCTTCGTGAAGCCATCTTCAACACTTGGAGCAACGTTCCCACTAGCCTCCTGGAAACACTGGCATCAAGCATGCCTAAACGATTGTTTGAAGTCATCAACAAGAATGGTGGAGCCACTCATTACTGAGTCCTTTTTTGACACCTTGATTTCTGTTTTGGGGGGGTTTCAGGTTTGTTTTGAGCTATGGTCTTAAACTTTTGATCAGCTGAAAAAAATCATGTTTGAGTTGTAGTTTGAGATTCTGCATTCTCATGTTTGAGAATGCAGTTTTCAGACAATTCCCTGCTCAAAAGTTCTTGTCTCTTGCACTGATTTCTTCTTTTAACATTGTGAAGCTCTACTTAGAACCTTCTTAAGATCCAATAGTGCAAAATGCAAATTCTTGCACTTTTTTGACTGGTCTTAAGATTTTGATCAAGAGTATATATATTGCAAAACGGTTTAAACAACAAACAAGAACTTTTCTCAAATTTTCGACAATATCAAAATAAAGTGGATGTGATAACCAGTACTTCAAGTAAAATTTGTTATTTAGACGTAAAAAATTCCAAGTTGGCATAAGATGCCTAAAATGTTACAGTGTGACAGGGCCTTAAGGGGCTTAAGCTGCATATAGTCCTAGTCATAAATCAATTCAGATAAAGTGTGGTGATGTCAAATAAATGTAATATCTGCCTGCTGAACTGACCCGCTGCTCTCAGAGCAGACTGTTGCATTAGCAAGATGGATTTATGACCGAACGAACGTCCATATCTTTTTTTCTCATTTCTGTGGGTAACAATACTTAAAATACAATGTTTTTCCTCTGACAACATAGGTGTGAAAAAACTATGGTTGTTAATGCTTCGCTCGTCACTTCACATTCAAAATATTGAGAGCTCATTTGTTCTTGGGGGAACACCACACATGCTGGGATGTTGTGCCAAGATCATCCAACGTGTTTAATACCCCCAATTTGCAAACAAAATCGTCCCAATGTCCTTTCGATCTGACTAGATAACTTTTAAAGGGCACCTATTATGCAAAACTCACTTTTTTCATGTTTTTAAAGAGTAACTTACCCCAAAATTAACTTTTTTAGCTGATAAACTGCCTAGAATGTGTCTAAAATGTTATATAGTACAGTTCCTGTGCTAATTTTGATGTTTTTGTGCGTATTTGTTCAAATCTGTAATATTTTGTCTAAAAACGTATTTTTGCTGCTCATTTGCATATTGGTTAACGGCTCTCCGCTGTGACGTGCTTCTCCACAGTTTCGTCACAGCGGCTGTGTTCTGGTATAAAAGCCTCTCTCTGAGACACGTCCCTGCAGCAGTCAGAGGGTGAAACACTTAGCAAGCTTAGCATGATCGTCTGTTGACCTTCAGCCTCGGGTGGGGAGAGCTGACTGCTGCACTGCTCTCTCTCCC